CATACTCTGATTGCTGTTGAGTCGTAAAGGCTGTATCTGACCTCAGCAGAGGTTGGAAAAGTTTAGTTAGCATTTGCTAGTGAAAACAGCTATGCAGGATTCTCATGCCGGTGTCTTAGGAACTGATCCAGTGTGAAGTTCAGCTGTAGGTTCAGTTATACCCCAAGGCTCAGAGTATATTCAAGCTGACAGCTCCTGGCTTCTAGGAGAGTGCCCTCAGCACTGGGTTAGGCTTCTTGGCAGCCAGGAAGCGATGCTACCTGCTCCTTTTGACTGTAGCAGACAAACTGGCCAAAGCAGTGCGGTTTCCCTTCACTGTCTTGGGATAGCTAGAGTTCAGCTGACCCTGCTGGCATCTGCGGATTGCTCCGGTGGTGGAACGTAAAGAAAATAGTAAGGACACAATATTCATTTGTATGTAGACACAGATGAATGTAAATAAATTTTAAGAGTAATAAAACCATAAATACCCTTCAGGTAATGAAAGTGGCTTATAATCAAGGATACTTTGCTAACCAAACTTGATTATTTGAAGGGAAAGGAAATTTTGATCCTAATGAGATTAAATTTAAAGTGGGCAGTGTGCTTCAAAGCAGAGATTAAGCCCTTGGATTTTGTCACAGACTGCAAATTTTCAGGACCTATTCTTCCTTCAGCTGAAGCCAGAGGCGAAATTCCTTTAGAAACCAAAGCGAGCAAAGGAATGTGTGCTCCAGTTGATACACATATATAACTGGCAAGTTACTCATACCTAAATTATAAACTGTTCCATGGAAGTTTCCATATATTTGGTGTCTATGTTTGGATGACAGTCGATCACAATCTATTCAAACACATTCTGCTTCAGCTTCTGAAGAAAACCCTTTATGTTTACTGTGTCAGGTCCAAATGAAAGCCAGACAGTAAGAATTTTTGGACTGGTTTTATTAGGCTGGGGATCTAAGTCTCCAGTTTCCAGGCGGTTTGTTAAAGATACAAGTTGATGTTCTTTGACAATGTGCTCAAGTGTTCTATGGCACTTGTGTGCAATAGAGAAATTTTCTGATTTTTGTGGCTTTGATGCTTTCTGGAGCTTCCTTACCCTTCAGCCTAATGAAAGGAAGGAAAGTTCTGAGAAAACTAGAATCTGCATTTAAAAGCAGTGACTTCGATGGAGTTTTCGTGATATTGAGAGTCGCCCCATTAGAAATATGTCTTAAAATCAAGGCATAAAAAGTTGTCACCACTTCTCTTATTCAGAACAGGGGAAAAGAAAATACCGTATTTGTATTGTATGGTGCAATGCTTGGGTAGAAGAGAAGACCTATGTGACAACACTAATATGACTTGCAAATACAAGTAATTAACAATGTTTATGGAAGGAACAACTGTTCTGAAGAAACTATTCTACTTCAGATGTGCCAAACCCCTCCCATACTTCTTCCTGTCTCAAAATTACTTCGTAAGTTGTAGAGAAGTACAGTTACTGGCTTTTGATGCAAATGTTTTTTGTCTGGTTATTACATAGCTGCTCTTCATTGGCGTAGATTTTGAAGGGCAAATAGTTTCAAAGCGATTATTTTCTCAAGAATATTAGAATGATCTTACTTTTGGATTTTCTCTTGTTCCTTGCTGGTTCAATATTAATAGTTTCACAAGCAGTAATAAAGGTCAACTTCCGAGACCAGTTTTTCTTGCACTTTGCTTGAGGATGTAATAGAAAAGATTTTTGCTACCAGGTCATAGGTCTGGCGGTACAAAGACTTCTCTGCAGTTTACTGATCTTCAGTCCTGGACTGTACACCTGCTTTTCCTATATACTGCATTTGTCTGGCAAGTGCGCAGCTAGAAAGCATCACATGATCAAAAGATGTATATACAAGGTGATTCATGGTCAAAGAGGATCTAAATGCCTAAGACTTGGGTGAGGTGTAAAATTTGAGGTGCCTTGGAATCAGAGACCCTGACCTGGGTACAGAGGCATTATCTGCAGAGCCTGGAACCATGCCAGCAACTTGGGATAAAAATTCCCGATAAATGACCTGCAAGTTCAGCATGGAACTGCTTTGTAGAGACACAATCTTTATACCTCCCTGCTGAAGTAGTGTGCAGGAATCGTGAGCACGGAAACTTGTCTAACACGTCCTCTGTGTGTGTAATTCCTGACGTGGAATCTCATCCTGGAGATAAGTTTCCTTCAAGGACTGAGAAGTGCATACTGCCAATGTAAGAGGAATTTGCGCGCTTCTTTCAGTTATGAAATATCCTATGAGAAAGAATTCACCCAGGAAACGCTAGAGACAGTTTTGGTGTTGTCTTTGGTCTTCTGGCAGTGAATGATTCCAAGTGCTCAGGCGTATGTCCTAGCCAATGCATGGCTGTAGGTTGCACCCCTTATTAGAAGTTACCATGATACAAAAAATAATCTGAATTTCTTTAGGACAGCAAATTAGTAGAATTTTGTAAATTTAGATTGCTCTGGGAGCTCCACTGGGAAGGATGAGTTTTGGACTGTATTAACTGCTATTTAATGTAAAATTCAGAAACAGCTCTGGGAGTTGCAGTAAATACCTAAACTGCTAAGCTTAGAACCTTCTACTCTTTTCTGAGCCTTATGAGTACTTTTCAGGGAAATAATGTATAGAGAACCACAGAATGGTTTGGGGTGGAAGAGACCTTTTAAAGATCATCTGGTCCAGCCCCCGTCATGGTTTTCATCAGTCTCGTTAGAGAACAGAACTGATCCCTCGCAGGCCATATTCTTGATTAATACTCCTAATACCTGCAGCAATGTTCCCAAATGGAGTTTGCACAAGTGATGGTAGCTGCAGCTCTGTTCATCTTTTTTGTACTGCTTGGTCCAGCAGCATAAAACTGAACCCTTGTACTGTAGTTTTACCTACATTCCTACCCAAAACAGAACTTCACATCATGTCTGCTACCCTCCACCATGCTGTCCTTCCTCCAAACTTACCTTCTACTTACAGCACAGTCCACCTCCTTTCCACCCTGGCTCAGTATCTCACCAAGTCTCAATCCTTTTATCCGCATCCCACCAATGTTTTTTCCAGGTCAAAACTGTGCTCACAAATGCTTGCTTCCACATAAGCTTTGTATATTTAAAAAAGAATTTTCTCTACCCACCACTTCCTACCTCAGTGTAATCGGGCTGTATGAAGGGTGCAAATAACGCATCATCACCATTCCTGTGAAATGGAAATATTTGGATCTTTAGCTCTGCAGGTTTCAGTGTCACAGAGATCCAGACCTGCTTTTTCCTCAATGAATGAATAACATGAGTAAAGCTACCTCCTTCTTTGCAACAGTAAAAACAAAGTGGGAGGGAAAATGTGGTTCTGCTAGCTGGTGCGCGATTTATATTCAGAAGATTCAACGAGTGTCATACCTTTGATATTGATTCATTCAAATTAAAATATTTGTATAAATAGTATCGTTGCTATTTGAGGATGACTTAGGATTTTTTTTTTGTTTGCAAATTGGGGCTTAAGATAATGCAGACAATTAGGAAACTTTGGCTATACTACATGAGGTTCATAATAAAAAGACTTTTATGTTACAGGGTATTAAAACAGATAGCAGCAGTCCCAGTTTTCTTGCAATATATATTTCTATAAAAAGTTTATAAACTAAATGAATTAAACTTTTGCACAAAGTTGATACTGCATATGAATTTATACAGCAATAGCTGAATACTCTTATCTATAAACACATAACAAAATTAAGGATAACAATTAATAGAAAAATACAAGGCATCGTTGCCATTCATGTTTAGTGTAATATATAGCCAGTCATAAGTTATTTTAAAATGCACAACAAAAGCCTGATGAATACAATCCCTTCTGTGCCACTCCATAACTACTATGAATTTTACAATCAATAGCAGGGGAGGAATGAAAAAAGTGAAGCCCTAGATTGATAGGGAAAGTGCTGTTTTGTTTTCTACTACGTGTTTTGCTCACAAAAAACTTTATTTTCTAAAGAATACTTGAAGTCTGTTACTCACTCCAGGAATCTGGAATAACTGGGTGAAATATTGCATCATTTAACCACACACATAGCTATAAAAATATCAACACATTACTAGGTATGTAATCAAATTAAAGTCTTTTTTCAAGAAAACTAGTCTTTCATCTTCAGAGAACCTCAAACATCTTTAAAGATGTTTTTACTAGCATTAGAAAGTTGTTATTCTGTGAACTACTGAATCCCACTTATGCATCTGCCTACTTTCTTTGTTTCCAACTGTGTAATCCGATACAAATCAGTTAGGTTTCAATGTCTGAGATACCTTAGAATTTGAATGCTTTCAGTTCCCAGTGTGTGTGGTCTAATTTAATCTCTTTGCCCAAGCTTCCCGTCTCTAACCATCCGGCCAATAACAACTTTGTAAAATCAAGACAATGCAAGGCAGTAGACAGGAAAAAATCCAGTTATCAGATATATCAGAAATATCATTGTTGACTTCAGTGGTGTAGGAAGCAGTAGTATCAGCTAACACATTAGGATCCAGATCCTCAAAAAGAAGTACTGTGCCTTAAATACCTTTGAAAATCTGTGCCAAAAGAACCCAACAACACAGATCCACAGAAATCTGTGGGCAGAAGTTAAATGTCTTTTGATGTAAACCTTGCCAACCAGATGGCAGCTTCATTCACAATAGCAAAATCTCAACTAGTTAAAATACTGTTCAGCTACAATCTGTCATACCTTTTCTTCAACTGCCTGGCAATGGATGTTGCACGACTGAAGCACTAGAAGTACTTCACACTATCAGGAACTCCTTGAAAAGATACAGAATCATAAGCTACAGAAAGCTTACAGAAGATAGTACTGTGTATTTATAATTATATTGTTTTTAACTTGTAAGAAGACATCTAGCAAGTGACGGCAAAAATGTCAGGCTGTATTGTTTCCTCTGCTGATATCTGACAACCTTAACTGCATGACATGCATAGCTTTAAACTTGAGGATACCATATACACGCTGAAAACAGTAGCTGTTGGCCAAATTCTGCACTCTGGTATTAAGGAGAACTTCTAACAAGCTCACAAGAATCCTTGACTGACTACAGAAACAAAAAGTAGCCCTTCTTCTTCCCTTGTAGTGTGATAATATAGATAAGAATAAAACATCTGTACTTTGGAGGGACCATTTCGGTTTTGTGATTTTTAGTTTCAAAGTAGTAATATCCAACAGCAGATTTTTGCTTTATTGTTTGGAGTCCAAAAAATCTTTACAGATGCCTCTAATAATATCAGGAACCATCTGCTCCAATCCTGTGAACTCCCTAGTGAAGAAGGTATGAGATTCTCTTGGTTCAGAAGCCATGTCTTTCAGATCATCCAGAGGTGCCCAGGCAACACCGACAGAGAAGACTGTTATTCCTACAACATAATAGTACAGTAAGAAAAAAAAAAAACAGTTAAGACCATTTTGCCTATGGATACAAGAAAACCAGTCATTTCTACACCCATGAATTAACCTGGATTGGAAAAGTGTGTTTCAGTACCATCAAAGATGGTTAGATTTTGCCAGTAAATATCAAGAATCAGAAGATATGTCTTGTAAGAATCCTGAAGAAAACATGGGTTCTCTTACAAGCCAGTGTCTTAGTTGTTTTTACAGTGACACACATGAACGTAGCAGTTACGATGTCAATCTTGAAACACAAGTAACACTATGTAAAATTATTTTGAAAATAAAATTGGATCCTTTGTGTATGCTTAGTGCTTTCAAGCATTAGCAGCCCAGTAAGTTTTTTGGCCCAAACTGCTTATTTCCTTCCTAGATGATGAAGGAGTGCAGGAGTAATGCCATACTGGATGGCACCACTGGTTAGAGCTCTTTATTTTTAATGGCTCTTTTACATGGCTCTTTATTTTTAATCTACTAATTTCCTTCCTGTTCAGGAAAATAAGACTGAGTGTACATATTTAACTAAGCTGCCGTGCGTGTGTCCACTTATACCTGGCTCCACAGCGCTGATTTTTTCATCCTAATGGAAAACAGTCCCTTAGAGCTCTCATTTTCCTGAATTTAAACCAGGTATGGATACTTGATTCACTCGCTGGGGCTGTATTTGCAAACTTTGTTTAAAATCTTGACATTTACAATACCGCATAAACAGGACGAATTAACTTCCATTGCCTTTAAAGATACGTCATTTACCTGCTTTTTGTGCAGCAGCAGCAGGCCCTCTAACGTCATCGTAAGACTGACCATCAGTCAAAACAACAAGGAAGTTTTTGTTAGGTCCATCTGTCACCGGCCCAAACACATTTCTGGTTGTGAAGGAAATGGCATCACCAGTAGCAGTGCCGCCGCTCATGTAGCGAATGTTCCGGATAGCCGAGAGGACTTTTTCTTTCGTGGTGTAGTCGGTGAAGCTGAACTCGGTACGCTGATTGTATGTGAACTGCACGGCTGCAACCTTGGAACCAATGTCGGAGATCTCGAAAGCCTTTGCAACGTTGCTGATGAATTCCAGCATGAGGCGGAAGTTGCTGTCTCCAACGCTGCTGGAGCCATCTATCAAGAAACCGATGTTGACGGAGTTGTAGCATGTCTTGCTACACAACATCTGCTCGTGCGAACACAATTTTTGGACAAGAGGTTTTACGTATTTGGTAGTACCAAACCAGGTGGGCATTTGGTAAGAGAAGAAGCCGTTGGTTCGACAGACAGCCTGTTTGAAAACCAAAAGTCAACAGGTGAATACTGACACAGCAGCTGCACAAATAAAAATCAGAGATCTATGTGATTTTCTTTCAAAGGCAGGTTAGAAACGGAGCCTGACGGTGGGGGTTTGGGGTGGGTTTTATGCTTCTTTGTGTGTAAAAAAAAAAAAAA